ATACTACTAACTAGGATGTAGCTGAGTGATAGTATTTGCTGGTGCTATTACTGACTGTTTTGTGAGTCAGAAGTGTTGCTGATTAAAGTCAGCACTGGGCTCATATCGCCTTAATCTCAAAAAGAAGTGCAGTTGAAGTACTGGTGCTAGCACTGGCGCCACCGTCTTTCAGAGGTGACCCTGATTAAGCCAACGCCAGGGCTCATCTTCCCTTGGTCTCAACGAGGAGTGTGAATGGGAGTTTAAACTATTTCGGGTAAGTACATGCTTGGGGTCCTGAACCCAGCGGCTTTTGCCTTGGTTTCCGCACGCTCAACTCTATCCATCAAGTTGTACGGACTAAGATACTGCTCCTATAGGTATGTGTCTATGCTAAAAGTACTAATTTCTAATAATCATGCTTACTAAGCCCAGTAGGGAGTATACTATAAGTACTGCCTGTGTGTGCTTTTTTAAGAAATGGCACCCAATAAGCACTCCCAATCTATGTGAGGTAATAGTGACTAGCATCTAGATAATAATAAAGCTTTTGTAAAGTAATGCACAAGTCCTACCATGCCCTTATGTCGAGCAGTTTTCCGTCTATAGACTACATTTAGGCCTACTAAAGTATCTATCTGTAGTAGTACGACAATACAGTATCAGGTAGGTATGGTAGGACAGTCTAAGTCAGCACAAAAATAATAGAGCAATATTAGTAATGTTGGTAGTATTAATGATAGTGGTGGTACTAGCGTAATCAATTAATGACCAATAAACTACGGTACCTAGGCAATTTTGTGACCGTAAACTGTTGAGCCGTCTTTTTGTGGCAAAGGATGCAATCAGTGTATTAAGATTTACAGACCTAGCAGAAATCGCCAATTACCAACAGAGTGAGCCACACAACCTTACCGAGTTCAACAACTTCGATCCGATGTCGTAAACAGAGGTTGAAGGCAGTCCTGTCATGAGGAAGGTGCTCTGTGCAGCCGCTCCCAGATTTGGCTCTTTTCCCAGCATCAGTTTGTAGAGACGCATTATGTCATAGGTGAGTACGTTCCCGGAGTCAAATATCACAATGGCAACCTGCCCCTTTTGAATGATTGGCATGTCCTTCACTTTGGAGAGGAAGAACGTTGCAATATCCGGACGTGCAATGAGAACAATGGCTGAAAGCAAAGAATTAAAGCATTCCTGTCAGGCATTATTGCCAAAGACAAGGGAGACTACTGTAACACTTTCCGATTTGGTGGTCGTCCTCATTTATATTCGAACCCCAGGTGGAATCTGATATGGCAGTATGGGTCACTTGGTCTCTCAGTACTTTTGGGTTAAACGTTCTCTCGCCTTATATGAGAACACAACGATTTCGAGCACTGTTTCGTGAGAGCTGCCCAACAATGATTTTAAACATACAAGTATGATTACACAATCACAGTAGCAGTGCATCGCATTCAGGGGTGACTTAAACTCATACCTGGATGCTGTACAGATGTTGCCGATTCAGTTAGTAAAACTTTACAGTAATTGAGGCAAAGGTTCGCATCCCAGGTATGTGCATAGATTGAGAGGAAGCAGGTTCGATCACCAGAATCAGAGTTTACAGTAAGTGATCCAGCTCATGCCAAGTTCTGAATGAAATTGGAGTTGGCAGTTTAGCATATATTTGGTCTCGTTATAGGCAGATAGTATTGCCAGCCAAGACAAGGGAGACTGGAATGGCGATTTCTGGCTTATTAGCCGTCGTCAGCCAGTCATACCCACGCCCAAGTAGTGTCCCGTCTGAGCCTCGAACTTGTGACCTTTTTTATCAGAGTCAAACACTCTAACCATTGAGCCACCAGTTCGTTGTCTTGTCGGTTTGGGTCGGGGGGTTATTGACATTCGTTGATGAACGTTCACCCGACCGCTAACGGCTACGACTGTCAGTATTCTGTCGGGGTCCTAGGCAGAGCGGGACAGGTGAGTTCTGCTAGCGGTAGGGTGAACGTTCTTCAACGAATAGTCTCGTTATGTTGATCTGATGAGTGGATTTCATGATCATAAATCCTTTTAGTAAGGAAAACTATATGGTTAGGTCAGTTTATTTAAGGGAAACAGGCAATATTTTGGTGAAACATAGGTTGTGGGATGTCAGAAAATTGTCTAGGCTATTTATTGAGACAGAACCAAACCTTTTGTTTTTTTGTTCTGTTATAAGAAAACAACAATACAAGCAAACATTTTTTTCGATCGATAATGAGTTTCGGTAGTCTATAAGTATGCCCAAGATGGGCATCATCCTAGGACTTGATACGTAAAACGTCACTTTTTGGATAACTGCCTTCAGTAATTTGTTATCCTTAAGCGTAATCCGAAGATATTTCAGTCACATCAGATTGCTGACTTTTGAATGAAAGTCTTTTCAGTTTCTTAACAAAGTTTCCCTTGAAAAAAATGACAACCTACGTAGTGTGTATTTTGTCTATAGATTTTTCAAGCCCTTCTATGTTCAAATAAATTTTATAGAACTGATAAGCCAAGAATATACTTTCTGGTACTTACTTGATAGAAGATCATGCCTTATCAATTCTGATACTCTGAAAAAGAGGATTTTAGTTCCCGAATAATTTGTAGCTCGGTATGCCGCATCTAGGTTTGCATTCTTCAAACTATATGCCTTTCGTGGAAGAATTCCTTCCTGTATTACATTACAAAAATAAATTTTAATGCACAAGGCATTTTGCAATGACTGTGGACTATGCCGTATACTTCCTGGGAGGGGGACATTAATAAACTAACATGCACACTGAGTTTAAAATGGACATTGTACTGTCGTCAAAAATTCATTCAGGAGGTTTCTAAACCAAAGTTGCTCTCATTTTGAGCGGTTTATTTGAAGAAAATATTGTTTACTATCAACTGAATACAAGAATAGGGAGTTTGTTTATGTTTCCTATAAAGTATACTGAATTTTTTTGCACACTTCTTATGTAATAAATTTTGTGTGTTTTTCAGGAGGCCGAAAGGACGTCCCGTCAAATCCCGGAATCCCAGGATATAAATAAACAACCGACTGCGTCCTCCCGGAATTGCTGTTGGAGATCAGAACGAAATGCCTGGGCACATACCTATAGACAGTTATGTGAAATTCGTATATTTTCCAACTACTAACTTATATACTTTTAAGAGGTTTGGCAGATTTGCTTGATTTGAGTTGAGGGTTCGAATCCCGCCGAGCGCCTCGAGTTTCTTTTTCACAATTGGGTCAACACAAATCATATACTTTTATATCAGAAGGCAATTTTGAAAACTTTGATGAACCGCACCATGGCATTTGACTGTGAATCCATTTATAATACGCACAGGATCACTGCCCCACTGAAAACTGCCCGTAAAAAACACGTTCATGTTCTCCTCATCTCCATTAGCATGCGTAATGAGGAAGGCAATGGTTTCGCTGACACCAGCATTCTGCAACGCCAGCGTACTCCGCTCATACAGGATGGCGATATTCCTCCAACCGCGTTGTCGTAGGAAACTGTGCAGCGGTCTGTAGAGCCCTTCGTTGGGGATGCCGATAGTCACAGCAGACAAATTGTAACGCATCCCTGGTGCCGACTTTCTTGGTGCAGTCTTGGCATAGTACCGGACTAAGGAGTCAGCCACGCATGCATAATCTATTTGCCGAAGGCTACCGTAGGCCGCCTGGACCAGTTTACTCTGAGCCACCCAGTCATTGATGAGAGCACAGGTGCTGCCGGGCGTTGGGCCTATGTAGACCGTGTAGCCCTCGAGGGCCTCAACTTGGGGTCCCAACTGTTGCAGAAATTCAGCAATGTTCGCCACCTGGTTCTCTTCCAGCAGGGAGCAACCGGGAATTACGTGTACCAGAATGCCCACATCAGCCGGTCGAATGAGACCGTTGGTGCGTTTGGTGCTGTACCGGACGGCAGCCCACATCGACTGCACAACATCAAAGACCTGGTTCTCAATCAAACAGTGGTTACTGGGTAGTACAAAGACTAGGCGGAGTTTTGGACCGAGGGGAAGTTCGACGGAACAGTAGTACTGGCAGAGTAGAAACAGAAAGACAGACAGCAGCACACTTGACTTCATCGCTTTATGAGTTCTGAGGCGCAACTGGGTATTTAGGAGCGACTGAAATAGGACGCCGTTGGTCGTTACCAGGAGAAAGGCATTGGTTGGCAAAGTTTGACCTATCCGACAGTCTACATCAGAGATTTCAACTTCCTATTTCGTCAAGATTAACAAACTGACAGGATGCAGTTAATTAGTTGTTAGGATATGTCGTATTATTTTCGTTACCAACCAACAGGGAGACGCCGATGTATGCAGTGGGTGGAGATACCAGAATTCACACAATACTGATAGATTTTTTCCAATATATATATACGTCGAATCCAAGGCCTTTTCAGAACTAAGGACATTTTGTCAAAATGCAAAAGACACAAGGCATTGGGAGTGTGGTTATGAGCTACGCACAAATAATAATTACTCGATACGAAGTGAAATGGTTAAGAATAAAAATGGAAAGATGCAATGCCAATAAAAGGAAATTTTCGGTATTTGTTAATCAGGTCAGTAGGTTGTTGGTATCTTGAAAGAGCGGACTGAGGTTGCTAAATCCTGAAGCTTACATAAAATGTCCGGGAGCGTTTTGCGATTTAAGAAAAATGCGACCACCACATTTTATGTTCATCGAAAGCATCTAAAGCTATATTATGATCACGAAATAAATTTGCCTATAAAAGATGGTTTTGCCGGTATCCGTACTTAAAAATAAGCATAAAAGCCCAGTATAAACAAAGTGAACCTCGAAAAATGGCCCGCAACGCACATGTCCTCAAGGAAACAAAACAGTTATGTATGTGATCTGCTATAAGTGTTTCTCGGGTATAATGCATCAAATTATGCAGATTCACTTATTGAGATTTTGAAAGGCTAGAACATGCTTGTGTTCTCTTAGCTCACACTATTTCGCACGCCTTCTTTTCTACTGAATGTCGCGGACAGAAAAAGTGATTTTATTCGCTTTTTAACATTATATCATGATCGTTTATATGCGTCTTCCAGATAAACACGTCCTAGAACGTAATGCGATTCATGGTAGTTGTTGGTATATTTATTGGATAAAACTAAAACCGTTGATGACACTAAAAGGATTCAGCGTAAAAAAATATATTTTTATCTATTCATCAGCAATCGAATAAGTTTGCCGACTCCGATATCTTAAACTCTTACATAGGCATAATTATGGAACATAAATGTTTGAATTCCTGTGAAATTAAAATGTTTTATAGGCAGACGGACTTTTTTCCTGTCAAGGAAAATAAAGGAATAGCTAACAACGAAAATAAAATGTAAAATTTTAACAATCTTATTATATTCCATATTCGGTTCAAACTCAGCAAAAATTCACAAAAACCGCTTGATTAGCTGATTTTGACTGAGATTTTTCATAGTTATGATGCACTAAAAATACTTAGTGAGGGCACAGACCTATGCTTGCTTTTCTAAATTGAAGACCGTCTTCACTATTTAGATAGCAACAGAAAGACGTGACTTCGAAAGGCCAAAAAACCATATGGCGACTATTGCCAAATAAACATTACCGAATTCTTACTGAGCATCCGTGAAATATCAATGACTTTTTTTCAGTTTCCTTAGTGGAATAAAAATGAATGTCGGTTAAATATTGTATGGTCCTCTACACTAGCCAAATCAAAAATTTGTTGAAATCATTTACGAAGATGAAATGGTGAACATACGTTTGTTTTCGATAATTCTCATCAGGCATTTACATTTATATGGTAATTAAGGAAATAAGAAATGCGGGTTGGTAGAAAAATAGAACTGTTGTCAGGGCAGGGGGAATGAGGGGGGGGTATGCGGGTTGGTAGAAAAATAGAACGGTTGTCAGGACAGGGGAAATGGGGGGGGAGGAAAGGGGGGTCAAAATCTGTTCTGCATTAGGGGGAACTGGTAGTCGGCTGAGGTGTTAAGCTGCTGGCTGTTGGATAGGCAGCTTTTGACCATGGTATCTGCGGCGCCGTGACGAAGTTCTTTTGGGTGCACAGAATCTGTCGGCAACAGTTCTGACAACAGTTCTATTTTTCTACCAACCGCATAGTTCATTTACTTAATTACCATATAAATGTAAAGGCCTGATGAGAAGGAAAACAAACGTATGTTCGCCATTTCATCTTCTGAAATTTTCAATGGGAATTTTTTGAAATCATTTACCTATGTAATGGGATGTTGGAAGTTTATCCACAGAGGACAGTTTTTGCGGTATCCGTAGTCTAATGCAAGCACTAAAGCTCATTATGAAGGGAATCGACATTCACAATAAAACTGCGACCGATATTTCTTACATAAAACCAAAAGCGTTCTAGTGTGTCCACTTTAAAATGTGCACTGGGCCAACAGTAGTTCAGAGGTTTAATGCCTAAACGTATGCCTGCTGACAAATAACAGCTTGTAGAGACTAGAACCTGCGTATTTAATTGAAGGAAACGCTATTTCTCACATCAACCCAACTGCTGATTGCCGCAAACATAAATATTCATGAGTTTGAGGCGACCACGCTCAGAACTTTATAGGTAAACCCACCTATTATATAGGTTTGATTCACAGTTGCTGTTAACATAAGAAATTACTCGGATCCATCAGTGCCAATTTTCTAAAGAAGGCAAAACGACGTCTGCAGTCTCCTCTACTACTAACACTGCCAATAACGATGTTGCCCCACTAATTCGCTTGTTGCAGTCTCGTGTATATTAACGGCCAACGTGCATTTGTATCATGCATTGGCCTGAGGGGTCGCTTCCGAATCCATTGAACTTTCGGGCTTCAATATACATTTGCAGCGGTAAGAAACAGCTCTTTGTCTTACGCAGTTAAATATGCTGCTGCGTATGCCCCCCCCCATGGAGTTACGACATCGCGCTACCAGAGCGTGACAAAAGGCCGACTACGGTCACAGACACGTTTTCACCTTCTCTTTTTCATGGCTGGCCACCCTTCAGTCTACTACGTTTAAGCCACGCCAGACCTTTCAAGGCCGGTCACAAAGGACCTTATTGCAGTGATTGCCTACGCTCCGGTGACTCCCGAACCCCGCTCACTCATAGCTGGACTTCACTCATCTGAGAGTCAATTCCCTCTCAATAATAGTCCACTCCTTATGCGCTTAATTAAACTATTCCTACCACTCTAACCTCCCACGTCTTAATTTCTTACTTGTTTATAACCGTTGGGATACTTCTATTTTCTATTACCCGGCCGGACTACTTCTTATTCCACACGCCCATCGCACTTGTCTTATCTGTCTACACTGTCAGAAGACTTTCTGTTATTGCTCGTACTTACTCAGCAATGTTCGGCTCCATGCAAATCTTCGACAAAAACCATACTCCAAACGACACCTTTCTCTTTTGGACCTCACATACATCCCTAGGGGACATATAAACCCAAACACACACATACATCTCTAGACCGCATTCATGAAACGAAATGCTGTGATCGATTCGAAAAAATTACTTGAATAGGATTGTAGTATTAATTATCGCACGGTGGAATCCAACGACATTTCAGTCACGTCAGGACGTCCGCTTGTGAACGATCTGTTTTCCGACCGCCTGAAAATCCACTCTCTGGAAAAAAAATGAGGTACGTATTATGCATTTTTCTCATTGATTTTCGGTGCCCCGATAAATTCAAATACTATGGGGGTTGAGGGACTTGGATAATTCAGTTAACCCAATTGTAAAAAACGCGGGGCCTTGATGGGATGCGAACCCACACAACAGGGGAGGCTTTTGTAAGGCCAACGCTCTACCATCGAACTACGAAGGCGCCCTGAAACTTTGAAGTTAATCCCACTTGAGTCGATCTGCCCGTCTAGTCATCTGCTCGTATGGAATCCGCCATTACGCGTACAGGAAGCTGGCTGCCCAGGCAGGATTTCCTGAGCAATAATCTACAATCCACGAGAATGACTACTAGGCTCACTTAATTATTAGGGGGGGGGAAGT